TATATATATATATATATATATATATATATATATATATATATATATATATATATGTATATGTGTGTGTGTGTGTATATATATATATATATATATATACACACACACCTTGCTACGTGTACTGCGTTAGGCTAACCGAGACTTGTCATTTGCACTTATATATTGTTGCTCTTTTGTTAGTTTTGACTGCTTTTATTGTCCTCATTTGTAAGTCGCTTTGGATAAAAGTGTCTGCTAAATGACTAAATAAATAAATAAATATGAAGTGAATTTTCTAGTGCTTAAATAAACAAACAATTTCTCAGAAGAATACATTTTAAAGATTTTTGGGATGCTTTTACATAACAGTAATTTAGACATCTCCAAACAGACTGACTAAACAGTAGAAAGCCATTAGTATGAGTGAATAAATCCACCTGTAGGCCTTAATTAACAGTTTAAATGGACAATAATATAACACTGATAATGAGCTGCTGTTTAAAGTTGTGTTTGAGAAGCTGATCTTTTCGATTCTTTGCTGTTTGGACACTTGGGGCTTTGAATAATTGATATGATGTTTTAAAGATGCTGGCGACGTGGGGTCCTGCTGTGTCACAGTCAGCTAAGCAGTGGGATGGGGGGTAAGAGTAGCTAATTAAATATAAATGCTCAATTACTCCCCAGATTGGTGAAGGGATGGAGTGATGTTTCACAAACGATCTTGCATCTTCAGCAGACAGCTGTCTAACACACTCGATGAGTGAAAATGCAAAGTAGCTAGTTTCTAGAAGAGGACGCTTTTGATTATACAGCCTGGGGGAGATCCTTCTGTTTTCTAGCAAACACAATACATCATGAGCAGCTTACCTTATGAGACAAAGCAAAAAAAAACATGCGAGCACAAAGAAAAGAGAGAGACAAGAAAGGGCGACATGGAAGAGCGGAAATGAATAACATTTAAGAAGCAATTTTTCCACAGTTTCCATATTAGTGTCTGTCCATATTCAGAAAAACAGAAATCAAAACTGAATTGTCCTTAATGATAAGCATTGCCCAAAGGAGCGCTAATGCATATAAATACATCATTCATATAAAATGTCATTGAAACCCTATAAATAATGCCTTTTTGCTATCTTGATTTAAAGCATCGCCTTACCTTGAAATCTGATGTACGCTATTTTTGACAACTGCGTTTTTGGCCCCCCAGGGATCAAAATCCTCTCAACAACTTCAGAATAAAAGCAACGTTATTATCTTTGTTGGCTAACACGACTGCACTATTGGGACAAATCACTCAACAATGTGGAAAAATTCACTGTAAGGGACGAAAATGTGAAACTAGTTACACTGGAATGATGCTACTGTTATTTAGGAAAACTGATACTGTAAGCAAAACAGCCTAAAACTAGAAGAAACTAGGGTTTAGAGTTTCTTTCTTGTGGATCTAATGGCAGCTAAACCAATCAATACACTACAAGCTGTAAATGTTCTTCACTAACAGATACTCCATCTCATCCACAGCAGCATTACTGGAAGATACAATGCAGTCAAGCAGAAATGCATTTTTAGACCGCAGTCATTTAAACGTCAGATGAGTGCAATATCTGTTTGTGTCATTTCTATAGTGTAGCTACGCACGGTACACACACTCAACTATAAATGCTGTATACCTTTTTTCTCATAGTCTTTCTTTTCATAATCTTTTTCTTTCTTTTTTTCCTTCTCTTTCTTTTTTTCCTTCTCTTTCTTTTCCTCTTTGGCTTTCCTGCTCTCTCCGGTTTTCCCAGCCTCGTTATTCTTCTTAATGTCACCAGATACTGTTTACACCAGAGAGATCATGAGTGAAGAACACGTCACATCGCTTTATTTTCCTGTTCATTTTATTCATTGTTCAGATGTGATACATGATTTGTTTTATGCTGACATAGTGGTTGAATATTTAAGGATATTGTTTCAAACATTTTTTCATGGAATGTACAAAGGGTCTGTTCATTAACACGGTGTAATTGCAAGAGAATGTAATTAAGGCTTGAACCAAAGGAGGTCCTAATTAATTTTTTTAATCAGTTCTTTCTTTCCGAATCCGTATTGTGTATTCAAACTATTCTTGATAAACTGTATAAAACTTCAGTGTTTTGTTTTAAAGGTCTTTAAAGGTATAGTTCACTCAAAATGACAAATCTATCATTATTTACTCACCTTTTTGTCATTCCAATCCCATATGACTTCCTTTCCTCTGTGGGAAAGGAATCAAAAGGAATCTTTTATTTATATAGAATATTCAAAAAAAAAAAAAAATGAAAGTGAATGGGGACTGAGGCTGTCATTTTGCCAAACAACACCTTTTGTGTTCCACAGAAGAAAGTAAGTCATACAGGTTTGGAATGCCATAAGGGTGAGTAAATGATGACAGAATTTTCATTTACTATTCCTTTAAGAGAGGCAGGCCTCTGGCTTACTGTTCTGAAGGCAATTTGGGTTGCGTGACACAAACTTCAACAGATTACACCTCCAAAATTAACATTTGAAGCTCCTTTAAAAGTGTATCATTGTGTAATTTGCACTTTAACAGGGATTATACTTGTCAGAAAATTCTGATGCCAGATTTGTTGTGGGTACCTGGGGCTTCTGCGTTTTTATCTTTCTTCTCCAGGTTTGTTGCTGTTTTTTCCTCCTTGGACGCAGCTAGAGGAACTTCACTGTTTTCTCCTACTTCAGACGGAGGTTTACTGTCAGGAGCATCTTTATCTTTCTTCTCCAAGTTTGTTGCTGTTTTTTCCTCCTTGGACTCAGCTAGAGGAACTTCACTGTTTTCTCCTTCTTCAGACGGAGGTTTACTGTCAGGAGAATCGTTATCTTTCTTCTCCAGATTTGATGCTGTTTTTTCCTGCTCGGTCTCAACAAGAGGAACTTCATTCTTCTCTCCTACTTCAAATGGAGGTTTACTGTCAGTCTCAGCATTACGTTGAGGAGCAGCATCAGTGACTGTTTCTGCACCTGCTATGACAATTTGAGCACCATCACCTTGACCTTTTGGAGCTGGTTCGATTTCATCAGACACATTGGTTGCTTCTGCATCACCTGGGCCTTCTGGAACTGGTTCGATTTCATCAGACACATTGGTTGCTTCTGCATCACCTGGGCCTTCTGGAGCTGGTTTGATTTCATCAGACACATTGGTTGCTTCTGCATCACCTGGACCTTCAGGAGCCACATTAGTAGTCGCAGGAGCATCCGAGTCTGAGGTTGCTGGGGCAATGGACGCAATCTCTGGAGAAACTGTAACTATTGCTGGAGCATCTGTTACAGCTGCGATGGCATCAGTTGCAGGTGCATCACCATCAGATGCAGGAGTTAGAGGAACATCAGATGCTGGGACAATCAAATCAATGTCTGGAGGGAGTGCATCAACTGTTTTAAATGCAGCATCAGTTGAGGACACAACTGTGCTTGTAACTAAGGTTACCGCAGTATTTCCTGTAACCGTTGCACCTGCTTCCACAGGAGATCTATCAGAAACCAGTGAATCTGCATCAACAGCAATAGAGGTTGGCAGTTGGATTGTGCTAGCTGATGCTGAAGATGCTGCTTCAGAAGTTGCCATGGTTGCAGAAGGTGTTGTTGCCATGGTTGCAGAAGATATTGCTTGGGTGTCCATATTAAGTGTTGTAGCAGTGCCATCAGAGGATGAGGCAAATGAATCGGTAACCTCAGGAAGAACAGAGAGTGGATTGTTTGTAACAAAGTCAGTTGTTGCAGTCACGGTGTCGGTTGCTGTGGTGGGCGCATCGGGTATCACATCTGGTGCTGCGGAAACTGTAATTGTGTACAGAGCATAAAGAGTCAGATATCTAAACCGTTCTGTCAAAAGCTGTATAGATGCCTATGGATGCCATTGGTGCCCTTTGGGCTTACATACTGTACATAATTGATGTTATTGCAGCATTTCAACCTTTGGCCATTTCCAGTTCAGCAGAAACGGGATACACAAGATCTGATAGAATCATTTCCCCCGTTCGTGCCCCTGTCCAACCCTTCAAGGACAGGACTCACTGCGTTTTCCTCTTATGGTTTCATGTATCTATCTCTCTCTCCATAAGTTCAATAAATTGTCCCCTTTTTGGTCTTCCTTACCATGACCTGGTCTCTTTTCTCTTATGAAATATTTAGCAGGTGTTCATTCAATAGCTATTCAAAAATAGATCTGAAAGAATTGAGCTCCGGCCTTCAGCTTAGCCTCTACCGCCACGCCATGTGCTCTCGAAAGTGATTGTGTTTCACAATAACAGAGTATTTAATGATTTATCTCCTGAGGCTGGGCTTGCCATTTTCATAGCTTCAGCACCATTAGGTTCGAAAAGCGAATGTGACACGCACCTGGTGTGAGGCAGAAACGGTGGGATAGGTGAGGTGGTGGCATATTGATTTGATTACACAAACAAAGTGAAAAAAACGTATTCACAGTCGACAAAACTGAACACCTGCTAAATAGCATATCCGATTGGAAAATCAACCTGCTTTGTAAGAGAAATGCACTGCTTGTAAATGCAGTAAATGAGTATATACTCACTGCAATAAATATATAAGTGATATCGAAATTTTCACTAAAATATAATTAAATTTTTTTATTAAAATATATTTTTTTATATTAAAAAGTAACTTAAAAAAGAAATATGAGGCTCATATTGGTTGTATATTATATTATATTATATTATATTATATTAAATGAGTATATACTCACTGCAATAAATATATAAGTGATATCGAAATTTTCACTAAAATATAATTAAATTTTTTTATTAAAATATATTTTTTTATATTAAAAAGTAACTTAAAAAAGAAATATGAGGCTCATATTGGTTGTATATTATATTATATTATATTATATTATATCATTTGAGCTGTAAAGTTGTCTGAATCATCCTTTTTTAGTTCCTGCAGTATTCTGGCTTTTAAAACTGTGTGCATTTTAATGTCACGGAAAAAAACTGAATGGAAAAAGTAAAAATTACTTTCATTAGTAATCAGCATAATGTCACAGATGCTGAGCTTTTGTTTAATTTGTATTGAATCCTGAACATTTTTTAAGTCTGTAAAATTTTATTATCAGTTATTTAATTAAAATTTTTTTTTTTACAGCTGAAAGCCCGTTTAAATTGGTAATGGGTTGTAAAGCATCAGTGCGGCATCATCATCAAAACGCTCCACCTGCCCTGCTGACTTCAATGCTTGATTCAAGAAGACATAGTTTAAGGAGCCGCCACATGGTACGTTACTTGGCACCCTGGCCTATATACTGTATATTAATGAATGATTTAGCACAGCAGTAATCATGTTTAATCTCCACAACCTGCTATACCTCAGATCAGAATATAGAGCACCATTATCGCCATCAGTCATGAGTGGAATTACAGTGGAACGTGAGTCCCTGAATGCACTGCAATCCTCAAGGTCTCCTATATGGTAAGGGAGAGCAAAGAAACTGGAGGGAATTTACTAAGTAGTAGTTCATTTGCTGTTGGCCTTGTTTACTTGCCTATGATGACTGTCTTGTTTTTGTACCTTATATGAATTATATTAATATTTGTGCACAATTTTTACAGTGCAGTTTTTAAAGTGCAGCACTATTTTGCTGTTGCTTAGTGAATGATATGCAGGTTTAGAGCATATCTGAAACGGTTTAGTGAATTTGCCCCACTGTTTTAAATCCTATATTTTTCAGATTTTAGATTAGATTTTGATTATTTATTAATATTTTAATTCGTTTTTATTTTAATATTATTTTACTTTTAGTAGTTTTGTTCTTCTTTTGTCTTAAACATATCTATAAAATTTAGTTTTACTTCAGTTTTAGTTATTTTACTTCAAGTGACCCTAATTGAAAATGAGAAATTTAGCCTTGGCGACTAGTTGAAATAAAATCATAACATGATCAGATTATATTATTTTTCTAATTTTAGTTTTGTTAACAATGATACTAGACTTCTAAAGGTGTTTCAGACACCACATTTCAATTGAGTATCTTAATGTTGCTACATTACTAGCATTGTTGGGTCAAGAATTTAGAGAAATGCTCTTGCTTGTTCCTGTCTGAAATGCTTTGTGTAGAGAAGTTTTTTGTTTGTTTGTTATACCAGGTACCAAATTGTAATCATCCTACCCATGAAGTGAACCATGGACTTATAGCATAGCATAGCATAGCACTATAAAATGAAGTCACACAAATTCAGATGTTCTAGGCTCTTCTGAAAGCTTGTAAAGATTCAAAGCGCCTTCTAATAGAATAACTGTAATGTATGCATTCTCACAACCTGGAGGGCAAGAGAACAAAACTGTGTATGAAAAGTGTATGACTTTAAACATGCTCCCTGTTGAATATTTCACCTCTCAAATTATTAACACAAGTGAGACCGAATAAATGAAGAATGTCTAACCTAAATAGATGGACACATGCTTGCATATATTACAGCTCATTTCAAGGTTGAAATGTCTTTGCGAACAGAGTTCTGATGGATTTACTTTACTTAAATATCAAAACTTTAATACCGGAAGACATTTAGAGAAAAAAAGTTTGTTTGTATGTTATTGTCTTGTGCAAACTTGTCACCAAATTGTGATTGTGACATGTACAGAAAGTTCTCTTACCTGGCTGGTCAGGTGCTGTAGGTACAAGTACAACTGTGAGTGTTGGACTAGACGGAGATGGCATTGTAGTTAAAGACGAGGTGTCTGTCTGGCTCGAGATGGTAGCAGCTGGCATTGTGGGCAGAAGGCTTGTCACAAGTAGCACTTGGGACAGTAAAATTACAGCATTGAGTCGAGAGCCGAGAGAGTAAGTAAAGAGGGCCAGCTACCTCCTACTGTTAACACTTCTATTTTTAATTTTAGCTTTGGAAAACATACTTGTACTTATGCAAAAGAATACAAAGTCTGTAAAAATTACAAGTGGGTACATCTAGCTACATTTGGTTGTATAAAACTTTAATCACTCAGTTTTTTTTGGTTAAGAGCTGTTTTCTAGTTTTAATGTATTGCAATAAATGTCTGATGATAATGATTATTGCTTTTAGATGTTATTACTGATTTTATTATCCTACATATGTTTTTCCATGACTAGTATAAATTCAACCACAAAGCTAAAACACCACAGACACGCAATGTACTATGGTCCATCTACTACTAAACAGAAATTAAAAGGAACTTTAAAGTCAACATGAAATAAAATTTTAAAACTGTGTGCATTTTAATGTCACGGAAAAAAACTGAATGGAAAAAGTAAAAATTACTTTCATTAGTAATCAGCATAATGTCACAGATGCTGAGCTTTTGTTTTATTTGTATTGAATCCTGAACATTTTTTAAGTCTGTAAAATTTTATTATCAGTTATTTAATTACATTTTGTTTTTTACAGCTGAAAGCCCGTTTAAATTGGTAATGGGTTGTAAAGCATCAGTGCGGCATCATCATCAAAACGCTCCACCTGCCCTGCTGACTTCAATGCTTGATTCAAGAAGACATAGTTTAAGGAGCCGCCACATGGTACGTTACTTGGCACCCTGGCCTATATACTGTATATTAATGAGTGATTTAGCACAGCAGTAATCATGTTTAATCTCCACAACCTGCTATACCTCAGATCAGAATATAGAGCACCATTATCGCCATCAGTCATGAGTGGAATTACAGTGGAACGTGAGTCCCTGAATGCACTGCAATCCTCAAGGTCTCCTATATGGTAAGGGAGAGCAAAGAAACTGGAGGGAATTTACTAAGTAGTAGTTCATTTGCTGTTGGCCTTGTTTACTTGCCTATGATGACTGTCTTGTTTTTGATGATTTAGCACAGCAGTAATCATGTTTAATCTCCACAACCTGCTATACCTCAGATCAGAATATAGAGCACCATTATGGCCATCAGTCATGAGTGGAATTACAGTGGAACGTGAGTCCCTGAATGCACTGCAATCCTCAAGGTCTCCTATATGGTAAGGGAGAGCAAAGAAACTGTAGTAGTAGTAGTAGTTCACTTGCTGTTGGCCTTGTTTACTTGCCTATGATGACTGTCTTGTTTTTGTACCTTATATGAATTATATTAATATTTGTGCACAATTTTTACAGTGCAGTTTTTAAAGTGCAGCACTATTTTGCTGTTGCTTAGTGAATGATATGCAGGTTTAGAGCATATCTGAAACGGTTTAGTGAATTTGCCCCACTGTTTTAAATCCTATATTTTTCAGATTTTAGATTAGATTTTGATTATTTATTAATATTTTAATTCGTTTTTATTTTAATATTATTTTACTTTTAGTAGTTTTGTTCTTCTTTTGTCTTAAACATATCTATAAAATTTAGTTTTACTTCAGTTTTAGTTATTTTACTTCAAGTGACCCTAATTGAAAATGAGAAATTTAGCCTTGGCGACTAGTTGAAATAAAATCATAACATGATCAGATTATATTATTTTTCTAATTTTAGTTTTGTTAACAATGATACTAGACTTCTAAAGGTGTTTCAGACACCACATTTCAATTGAGTATCTTAATGTTGCTACATTACTAGCATTGTTGGGTCAAGAATTTAGAGAAATGCTCTTGCTTGTTCCTGTCTGAAATGCTTTGTGTAGAGAAGTTTTTTGTTTGTTTGTTATACCAGGTACCAAATTGTAATCATCCTACCCATGAAGTGAACCATGGACTTATAGCATAGCATAGCATAGCACTATAAAATGAAGTCACACAAATTCAGATGTTCTAGGCTCTTCTGAAAGCTTGTAAAGATTCAAAGCGCCTTCTAATAGAATAACTGTAATGTATGCATTCTCACAACCTGGAGGGCAAGAGAACAAAACTGTGTATGAAAAGTGTATGACTTTAAACATGCTCCCTGTTGAATATTTCACCTCTCAAATTATTAACACAAGTGAGACCGAATAAATGAAGAATGTCTAACCTAAATAGATGGACACATGCTTGCATATATTACAGCTCATTTCAAGGTTGAAATGTCTTTGCGAACAGAGTTCTGATGGATTTATTTTACTTAAATATCAAAACTTTAATACCGGAAGACATTTAGAGAAAAAAAGTTTGTTTGTATGTTATTGTCTTGTGCAAACTTGTCACCAAATTGTGATTGTGACATGTACAGAAAGTTCTCTTACCTGGCTGGTCAGGTGCTGTAGGTACAAGTACAACTGTGAGTGTTGGACTAGACGGAGATGGCATTGTAGTTAAAGACGAGGTGTCTGTCTGGCTCGAGATGGTAGCAGCTGGCATTGTGGGCAGAAGGCTTGTCACAAGTAGCACTTGGGACAGTAAAATTACAGCATTGAGTCGAGAGCCGAGAGAGTAAGTAAAGAGGGCCAGCTACCTCCTACTGTTAACACTTCTATTTTTAATTTTAGCTTTGGAAAACATACTTGTACTTATGCAAAAGAATACAAAGTCTGTAAAAATTACAAGTGGGTACATCTAGCTACATTTGGTTGTATAAAACTTTAATCACTCAGTTTTTTTTGGTTAAGAGCTGTTTTCTAGTTTTAATGTATTGCAATAAATGTCTGATGATAATGATTATTGCTTTTAGATGTTATTACTGATTTTATTATCCTACATATGTTTTTCCATGACTAGTATAAATTCAACCACAAAGCTAAAACACCACAGACACGCAATGTACTATGGTCCATCTACTACTAAACAGAAATTAAAAGGAACTTTAAAGTCAACATGAAATAAAAATCAGCCCTATTTATTTTCCCTGTACAAGATACTGATATTATTGTATTATTGTAATTCAGATGTTTGTCTGGTCCACTTTCACAATCCAATTAATTCCCGACCAAGATTCATCTCACATTTTCATCCCACTAATATCCTGTTTCCTTCAGATTCAGAATTGCATCGCCTATTTACTTTGCCCAGTACAAGTACTGATCTTATTGTGAGTAATTCAAATGTTTGTCTGGGCCACTTTTCACAATCCAATTAATTCCCAACCGAGTTTCATCCTACATTTTCATCCCACTGAATATCCTGTTTCCTTCAGAATTGCCTCATATTATGTTAGTGAAATGCATTGCGAATAGCATTTCATGTTGACTTTCATGCAAAACAGGGAGCTAAAAGCACGTCCATTAAACAAGGTTTCATAAATGAAGTCTGGATCCACCAGCTGAACTGCTTTAAGATGCTAATGCAGTCTCTGCCTGTGTCACCTGGTGTGTTGGTGAGGGATTCAGCGATCTCTGAGCCGCCAGTAGGGGCAGGAGGAGAAGTCGATGTGTCACTGGAGGTGGCCGTGTCTAGTCAGCAGACAGAAGGATGAGCTCGCCAGTGCAAGGATCAAATACCACCACAGTATTGCCCATCAGAGCCTAAATCAGCCTGATCTCAGCTATTCGCTGACCACAAATAAAGGGCACTGCTAAAGACACTTTGCTGCAGCCCACAGCAATAAACAGGACAAGCACTAAAAAGAAGCACTCAGATGAGCACAGTTGTGATGAGGTATGGATTTACACAAGACGTCAGTCAGTCATAAAAAAATGTCCTTATACAGCAGACAATAACAATAATGTGGTATGTCCATCATGGTCAAGGTGATCTCATTTGTTTCATAGGCTTTCATTTATACAGTTTACACATACATTTTTATACACAAATAGGTATATATCAATACTGGATATTTAACTCTGCATGCTCATTTGCACATTACCTTTGCCAATTTAAACGTTATTTTTTAATTAATTTAAATTTTATTATGAATTTAATTTTCATTTTAATATTAATTTATTTAACACCTAAATCTCTTGTAGTTAAGTGTTATATGTTTTATGTAGTTATATGTATTTATGTATTTTTTATTATATATTTATAATATGTGTGTGTGTGTGTGTGTGTGTGTGTGTGTGTGTGTGTGTGTGTGTGTGTGTGTGTGTGTGTCTTTTTTATTTCCTTTTTTCCTTTTTTTTTTTTTATATCGGCCATTACATTAATATATCAGGTAAAATTCATTATAACTTTAATATTTAATTATTACATTAATATATCCGTTTTTAATTCAAGCAATTTATTTAAAAAAATATTTTGCATTTAATGTACTTTAAACCTTGACTTATGCAAACAAACCAAAAAAAAAGATTATATGATGTATTATACAGTATATTTACATAATTTATATTCTATGTATTCTGTTTTTAGTGTGTGTGTGTGTGTGTGTGTGTGTGTGTGTGTGTGTGTGTCTTTTTTATTTCCTTTTATTTAGGTTTTTTTTTTATATCGGCCATTACATTAATATATCAGGTAAAATTCATTATAACTTTAATATTTAATTATTACATTAATATATCCATTTTTAATTCAAGCAATTTATTTAAAAAAATATTTTGCATTTAATGTACTTTAAACCTTGACTTATGCAAACAAACCAAAAAAAAAGATTATATGATGTATTATACAGTATATTTACATAATTTATATTCTATGTATTCTGTTTTTATTTTAATATTGTTGTTTTATTACTGTCCATAAATAAAGGAGCATTAACCTTAAATAATCTCCGTTATTTAAAAAACATATCGAATGCACTGTTGTTTGTATAATAAAATGGATTACATTTCAAATGTTAATATGACGTTGTATGTCTATCCAGTCACAGAAAAATGTATACATGCTAAAATCAGACTTTAAGCTTGAATACTGAGATCATGTTGTCATGGTAGTATCCAAACAGCACTGTTTTACCATAGTACTTTGGTTGAATGTGTGCACATACTAACTTGTGTATGAACTCATGTGTGCACAAAAAAAACCTACCCTACTTAATGTCAAATATGCTCCTCAAATGCTGGCTCAATGCTAATCATCTCTGTCTATGCCAGAATTCACAGTACTGTACATCAAATATGGAACGTGGCATTTGGCGTCTCATGCATGTTAGCTTGTTTGCTGTTGTCTGGCTGTCACAGTAGGAGCAAGTGTCTTCCCTTTGGAAGAGGAATGACATGTCAGCTCACACTGTGCCGGTGCTGATGGGAGCTTTGGGATTCAGCGTGGGCAGCCCACAGTGAGCACCGCAGCAGGCCGATACTTCCTGCTCTCAGGCATGCTGATGTTTTATTAAGATTGCGTCCCTCCCCAGTGTTTCATAATTAAAGCATGGCTGAAGACACTGTTCCCTAATTCCATGGGTTTATTGTATTTATATGGTTTGCTAATGAAAAATGGCCCGTATTACCGATAGATGTTTTATTTAGTGTTGTGTCTTAGTGTCGTGGATGAAAATAATTTATGTCTCAGTCTTTCTGTAATAATTCAGTGAGAGATTCACACAGGGGTTTGTGTTGTTTGAGATCAGTGTTGCATTTTTATAATTATACAAACTGGTTTATATAAAGGGTGACATATTATGGAAAATAGGATTTTACTTTCTCTTTTGAAATAAGAGACTTTGATGTACTATGTACTCTTTAATTCCATAATGCAATGCAAAACTTCCTTCCATCAGGATGATTATGGAAAGTCATGGCGCCGACGTCTGAACCAATGAATAGTTGAAAGAAGGTTATAAAGGGTTGGAACAGCATGAGGGTGAGTAAATGATGACAGAATTTAGATTTTTGGATTATCTAATTCTTTAACATACCTGAATGACCGACCACATTTACATATCATAGTAATTCATTATTTAACATTTTTATTATTTAACATTTTTCAGTTATTCATTTCCCAAAAAGTTAAGAAATCATAACAGAGGCCATTTACAGTACATACACTACCAAACAAAAGTTCAATAAGGTCAGTAAGATTTTTTGTAAATGTTTTGAAGTCTCTTATGCTTACCCAGGCTGCAATTATTTAATCAAAAATACAGTAAAAACAGTAATATTGTGAAATATTATTGCAATTTAAAATAATTGTTTTCTATTTTCTATTCATTTTTCCTTTGATGCCAAAGCTGAATTTACAGCAGCCTTCTGTGTCATTCTTCACTGTCACATTATCCTTCTGATATGCTGATTTGCTGATCAAGAAACATTTCTTCTTATTATAAAAAATTTTAATCTGTTGTGCTGCTTAATATTTGTGTGTGTGTGTGTGTGTGTGTGTGTGTGTGCATATATATACTGTATATAAGTCTTTGCTGAATACAAGTATTCATTTCTTTAAAAAAAAAATTTTAATCAGTCAATTAATCATACTAACTCCAAACCTCTGAACATTAATGTACAGGGGTCTAAAGCTGTTTTTAGGGGTCCCAAAGAAGGTCAAAAAATGTTAATGAAAAACTAAATTACTTTGTGTAAAAAAAAAAGAGCCATCAGTCACGTTAACTGCATGATATTTAAAGCTCCAAAATGAATATACGAAGAAATTAGGTTTTCATTATTGTGGCAGATGTGTAAAATCACTGAATAGACAAAAAGTGGTTTAGGAGTTGATATGTTCTTGTTTCAACTGTGCTTTTTTTAAATATTGGTCTATGTGGACTGTTTATTCAACGTCTTTCATAACGATTTTTTAACATGCTTTTTAACATGTGTCACACATGTCCATTCACACAGAATGATCAGCAGAAGCATCCAGAGAGGAATTATCATCCAGTGCCTATTACCAGGCTACTAATCAAATTAGTCTCTCGCAGTGCAGTCATGCTTTCTAGACAAAGAGTGTATTTGTGCCTGTGTGAGAGAGAGCGAGGAGCTCGTTACAGGGCTGGTGAGCAGGGAACGGGTAACAGGAGGGCAGGCATATGGCCATGAGGGGTTAACGTGAGAGCTGGAGCTCGGGCAGATTTCTCACGTCACCCCCCCACCCGCCATCTGCCACCGAACCAGACCAGAACCAAAAGAGCAGGCAAAGATTGACCCGATCTACTGTAGACCGCTCTCAGTCTCTGGCCACATTAGAATAAGAAAGAGATAAACAAAGAAAGAGTGTTTGTTTGAGAGAGAAAAAACAAACAAGACAGGCTTGCAATCTTGTGAATTAATGGCTCTGTTCCAAAGTCTAGTAAGCTGACTATTTAAGGCATCATAAGTGTGCTCCTGCTGTTCCAAAAGGTAGGAAGGATGACTGTGCTGCCTTCTAAGAAAATGTCTTTTGGACAGATTCTATGGCAGAATGTATGATTCACAAAGGATGCAATGCCAAAAATGCATTGTGACATTCTATCCAAGATGGTCGACAAAGTGTAAGAAATGTTGATTTATAAATATATTTATTCATTGCAAAAAGTATGGCTAAAAATAGTAAATGTAATAAAACAGTAGTCTATTTTACATAATATGTGTGAGTGCTATGTATTTTTGTGCATAGCACTCACAAACTCTAACAAAAGAAAATCTACATCAAAAAATGTTATGTATACTTGAAACAGGAAAGACCAAAATCTCCAAAACTGTTTTCCAAGATTACGTTTCAGTAGTACAGTATATGAGCATTTCAGAGTAGTGAAATATAAGGTAACACCAGAGGTGTAAAGAGTACCTAAAATCCATACTTGAGTAAAAGTACAGATACTTTACAGTGAAAATTACTCCACTACACGTTACAAGTCACCAATTCCAAAACAACTTGAGTAAAAGTCTTAGAGTATCTGATTTTAACAGTACTTAAGTATTTTACTTATACTAAATATAGGCTCAAAGATGCACTAGTCAAAGAGTCATGTCAGTCAAAAACTAACGTTGTGGAGAAGCTGCGGAAAACAGGCAGAGGCAAGGATCGTCTCGGTTACGTATGGTAACCCTCGTTCCCTGAAGGAGGGAACGGAGACGTCACGTCGGATGACAGACGAAATTGGGATCTCGCTTAGCGGGACCAATCTACTTCGAGTGTAAACTAAACGAGCCAATGAACATTGGCATGCGATTATTGCATCCAGCTTCTGCTGATCACAGCGTGAGTATAAGTAGGCAGCAGATGCAGCGCATATTCAGGTTTTCGCTGAGGAGCCGAGCCGGTGACCCGGCCGCTCAGCGGTGGTACA